AAAAAATATATAGAACTACGTAAAAATTTTCGGGCTTTCTTTTTAAACTAATTAGAATGCTGTCTGGGGTGGGGGGGGGTGCCAGATTTGTTGACTTATCCAGCGGTGTCCTTTTACTTGTTGAGGTCAATAGTGGTATTTGACAAAGGTTCTCACTGATCTTGTCCGTATGAATTTGGAGTATGGACATGCCTCTATCCTTGGCAAAAAAACGAGCCCGTTTGGTCGAGTCATAATGGCGATACTCAGTTTTTAGTGTGTCTGTTTCGTGACTTACTGGACACCCTATGCTTTCAACTTTAAGAACGAATAGAATTATCTAAATAAAATTATCAATCTCTATGAAAGCTAGAATTTTATTTTTGATCACACAAATATTAGAAAATTTATTGAATAGCTACTTCTGTCCTTTATGAGATCCTAAAATCCTGTTCAAGGTTTATTTTGACTTGAAAACCCTAAATAAGATTTGTATACGAAAGAATAACAATTGCACTTTTCGAATGAGAAATACATCTTTCCTTCGATTTCCTAAACATTTGACCATTGTCGTTCGATATTCGTAGACGTTGTCTGATGGCTGGCCGTCACAAAAATGGAAGTGTAAAAATAATTTTATTAAAACTTCTAACTAAAAGCTGATTAAAATGTTTCGTATTTTTACAGAGTTCCTTTTTATTATCATTTTTCTTAATTCGGTGAAATTTCACGTAGGCTCATGTTCATAATACACTCGACGCTAATTCCAATCGCCACACTCGCTCTTGTGCCAGAATAATCACTGTATTTCCCGTTAATGCAAAATTACTAATCACTCCACTTTCGCATAATTTTAGACCGAGTATCACTCCCAGTAATGTTCCTTGTCGATTTCGTACATTAATTCCATCACCTTCGGCCGTCCATACGCGGTCTGCCTTGTCGACTCGGATTCCGTCCGGAATGCCAAGTGAACTGATCGAGAAAACGCGACGATTGATCGGTAATGCATCTTCGTTCAAATCATACGCATAAACAGCGAATGTACCCTGCCCTGGCAAATTCGGTGCAGTATCACTCACATACAACGTTTTTTCACTGGGATCGAAGGCAATTCCATTCGGTACAAGAAGATCTGTGATCACCGGACGTAATTCCGATGTAATCATATCAAAACGATAAACATAACTGCCTAGTTGAGGTGAAGAACCAAAATTTTGCAGGTAAGCAACTTGTGGATCGGTAAACCACATGTATCGTCGCCCATCAATTTTCGTTGTGAATGTTACATCATTTGGCGAATTGAGTCGTAATCCAAACCATGAATTCACTACCAATCGACTGACTAATGTTGTCGGATTGACAGCATAAATAGCGCCTGATGTTGTCCGATTGCCTTGCGAACAAACATAAACCAATCCGTCGAAATAAGCAACACCATTCGGTGTAAGAATTGGTGGCTGAATGGAGAGCAATTCGACATTATTGGTTTTCAGATTGACACTAGTCACATCGGTATTCTGAACGGGTAGTTGATTGGCAGTAAACCAAACTTCGTTGGTGTCCGGAACGAATGCGCCACCTTCATGAGCAAATGGTACAGTGACAGGTTTGGCTGCTAATAATTTGATTTTTGCTTCAACGCCAATGAGATTGGTAAATTCGGATGAATAAGAAATGAATGAGGCTTGTCGTGAAGCAAATAATTCGGCTTGTTGCGCACGAGCGAGAGGAGATAAGTTGTTCTGGTCTCCAATAAAGTTCGTAAAGCTGAATGATTTGTTAAAATCGCGATGGAAGTTTGATTGGAGACTAGAGGTAAGGGAAAATGGCAAAGAGATGAGAGGCTTGTTTCGAGCACATGCACCAGCAAGAATAGACCAAATGATGACGAGTTGATACATTATAATTTTACTCGAGTAAAAACGCATGACTACAAGCATACAATAAAATCAGATGATGACAAAATACAGTACAACATATAGTGTCGCTTCTAGGTCTTAGAAGAAGAATTGATGGAAGAAAAGAAAATTTCTCTTTCACATATTTGCACCGGTGTGAATATTTTTCTGTGCTTCTGGCTATTAATCAGTCTTGCGCACCGATTCGTACTGTTGATACGTAATTATATACATAGACAAAATAGAAGTACTAATGGCGACTATTACATTGATAACGATCACTCAATTACATATTTATTTTCTCTATCTCCATTCAAACTATACATGTGACATACTCAGATCCGAACCTAAACGATTTTTGTGGGAAAATTTAAAAGAAAAGACTGGATTTGATCTTGCATGCAGTTCACAAAGAGATTCGATTGTATGATTGTTTTCACAGGGTAGAACTAACATATCTTACCTTCCCTATTGCCAACGCAAACTTTGTACGATATCTGTCTCTGGAAATTACATTCAACCGAAAGTTTAAGATATCAATGTTAGTATATCTATGAATGGTTGTATCAAAATAGTTTGATTTTTCAAGTAATGAGTCTACGTTTGAAAACACCTTCTATTTGTATGAAGCATTCGTAATGGTCGACAAAGGATGTTGGTGTGAGTGTTGGTGATTCCTCTTCAATCCCACACACCCTCTTTACAGAATATCAGATCGTATTAAAATGCGGTGTTACTAGAATAGAAGCATAATAACTGGGTTTAAATGATAAATTATTTGTCAATTCGATGTGATATACACACATGCATTAAAACGTATCAAATCATCGCTTTTAATCCAGTAAATGTGTTAAAAGCTGTTTATATACGAACAAACATGTTTTAACTAGTTCATTTTTTCATACATCATCCGAACGAGTTATAAAGCATTTTTTTCGCATCTTTCTGTCCGAACGTGTTGAAATAACATTTTAAGTGTTTACTCTTCTGCATGGGTAGATTCTACATTTTTTATCTCGCATTAGCTATGTAGTTGTTTAGTTGTACTTACATTTTTGTTGTTTGCTTTGCTGACGAAATAAAATAATTAGGTCAATTAATATTCAATTTAATATGTTGCTAATTAGAAAGTAATGATGAAAGTAACAGTTGAAAACTGAGAAAAATTCGATAAACTATCGCTTGACAAATCCGTTGGATCAGCTTCCAATGTATTGTTACTTGTCGATGTTGTATCAGTATATCCGCTTGGACACAAGCAGACTAAAGTATAGAATAAAAATCATTCTATGAATATTAGATGAAAAAACACCGATGATTTATAAACTAAACTTTCATTCTTTTCCTATCGCATGTCATTAAAAATAATTCTCTTTAAAACAGTCTCTTCGGAAACGGAATTTTTGTTATGTTAATTCAGCTTTATAAAAAAAAAGAATAAAAAGATAATTGATTTACAAGATGTACCAGAAATTCAAAATATAAGATAAAGCGTAGTTACTTTTAAATCTATTACCTTATAGAAATTAGTTTTGTATTATAACTTTATTCAAATAGATTAAACTCTAATTGATCTTAATGATAAGATTTCCTTTCAATAGAAATTAAAACATTTTTATTAACAAAGAATATTAATTATGATTAAAAATCGATCATGATTATCTAACGAAATACTAAAATGATTGAAAATTTATTCAAAACGTAAGAACAAATGTATTTTTACAAAAGTATGCTTTTCTTCACGATCATATGATGAAACGCATACAGGTATATCGACTGTTCGTCTTAAGTTGTTCGCGAAGTATATAAGGATAAACAATTTTAATTTGTGTTCCAAACTGTTGGTCTTTATATACGCATCTTGTCGGTAGATACAAAACATAAATGATTGAAAGAACAAAAGTCTATTTGACATTTCGTCAATATTTTCTATGTCAACCTTACTCGATTTATCTTGTACACAAGATCTTGGTCAAGACCCTGTTTATAAGATATTCGACCGATGAATAATTTCAATCATGAAAATTTCAAGTTAAAGTGACGATACATAAATAAGAAACATATTACTTAAATTTAATCGACTATTCAACTAATTTATCAAATAGATTATCTGTATCATATACTTCTACTCGTTATATCTTCTAACGATCACCAATCAAATAATCAAAGCTGAATAAAAGTAAAACACGATTCTAATGTATTGAGAAACTAGAAGAATGAAAAGAGAGACAATGAAAGGTCAATATCTCTCTTAGTAAAGATTAAACTTTCAAAATGAAGTAACAGCATAAATACAGTTTTTCAAAAATTTTTGTTAGATCCAAATTAATTGAATTTGTCTATGAAACAAAACCATACATTAGTCCGATTTGACTTGTAATTTCTATTATCAGATAAGGCGCAGACTTCGTTCTTTGAAAGATTTTTCTATTTGACTCGCATTTTCCATTAGCATTAGAGAACTGATTGTGTTACTTGTGGAGAAAAATAGAGGAAGAATAGCATAATCTTCCTAACGAAAGAATAAAGTATATGATTGAGCAACATTATAGAATTCCACACAAACTGAATGATAAAATTATGCTCGACACATTTTAATTTTTTTCAGTATTATCTAAGTATATGAAAAATAAATTAATGTATGTATCCAGACCACTCAATTTGTTATTTTTTGACGGGCATTGTTTTAGATCTTTTCAAATAGAGTTACTTTGAGTTGGTGAATGTAAGCCAGAAAAAAACTTGAACAGATAATTAAGAGTTAAAAAACTATGAGAAACATCATGGAATCAAAAACGTTATATCTGGATGACTCCTAGCAAAAAAAATCAATCTACTCATTTCGATTGATTTCAATTATTTGAATGCCATTTAAATTGATCTCAGCAGAATTCCAACTAATGTAAATTCACGGGAACCTAATTCAAATGAAACTTGAATTAATTCAAATTAATTTGAATCGAATTCAAATCTATTGAAATTATTTGAAACCGATTTCAATTAATTTCAATTATTTAAGTCCTTTTTAATCTGATCCTATATCGAATTGAAAATGATTTATATACAATTTTAAGTGATGTGAATTCAATCTAAACTAAATTCAAATAAAATTTCAATCAAATGATATTCAGTCTAAATAAGTTAAAACTTTTTTAACTTAATTATAAGCGACCTGAAATCGGTTGAAATTATTTTGAACGGATCTAAATCGATTTAAATCCAATTTAAATTCACTGAAATTAAATTAAAATAAGTTTAAGTAAATTTAAATGTAATTTAAAGTAATTTAAGGTAGATTTAAATTTGTTTTGTTGTGTATCGGAAAAAAAAGGAATTTTTGATGTCGAAAGTGAGCTATGAAACATATGTTAGTGAGTATTTTAGTATCAGTAGAAAATAGCAGTAGCGATGCATGGCTCTTTTTTTACGGAGTGTTGTATTCTGATGATCGGATTTTAATATATGATATAAGTTTCTTTCCTTATTTCTTATTTATGTTCTTTCTGAAATTATGTATTCTGATAGTAGAGAGGACCAATTTAAATTTAAGCTCACTGAACAGGAAAATGCTATCTCTATCTAGTATCGATGACTCAAGCTGGTCTTGATGAAGTCAGTTGAAAAACTTAATAATATATTATTATAGGTCTGAAAGTTTCTGATGAAATTTTCAGAACTGTAATTCAATGTGAAGACATGATAGAACCATCGAAAAAGTTCATTACAGCAGAGCTTGTCATTTGATGAAGTTACGGTATTATGCAACAAGCTTCGGACCCGAAGAAATTTGGTATATATGTTTGTAGTTAGAGATAAAAAAGCAAAAATAAATCGTTTTGAATGCGAAACAGCATATAAACATTTTCATAGATGGCATCTCATTTATACTTGTCTCACAGACGATAAATAGTATATCTAAGCATAAACCAGTTCTTTATTACGGAACTGTTTTTCTGGTTTCATGGAATTTTTGCTTCATTGATTACTCGTGTCTTTACGTCATCTATGATGCTCTGACTCAAAAGGAGTATTTTCTCATAACTAAATGTAGAATGACTAGTAGAGAAGAGTCTCATGCACATAGATGCAATGTTTGTCGTTTGTTGAATAAGTGTAAATGAAATACTATCTAGGAAAATGTTTGTTTCGGTTTCGCGTTGGAATGATTTATTCTTGCATCGTTTAGCTCTGATCGCAAACATATGTACTAAATTTCTTCGAGTCCGAAGCTCGTTACATAATACAAGAATTTCATTCATTGACAAACTGTACTGTAGTGAATTTGTTCGATGGTTCTATCATGTCTTTACGTTGAACTACAGTTCTGACAATTACCTCAGAAACTTTCAAGGCTATGATAATATATTACTGAACTAGACTGCACTGTCATAAAACATACACTTACTCGTTGAATTTGTGTGAAGTCTTGTGCGTCCAACACTAGAATAATGCCGTAATTTATCGTCGTTTTTTTTCTGAGTGAGAATAAAACAGTATGCTGTCTATATATATATATCACAAACTATATCTGATTTTTGAGTGTAAATATATATATTTGAATTAATAGAGCATGAGATATGGGTCACATTTTGCTTTTATGTCATACAAATATTACAGTCGCTTTGCTTGCTATCTCCCATCGTTTACACAGATTAGTCGACAATGATGAAGAGTTAGTTGAATGTTTGCCAGAATGTGCACTATGCCGTGTGATGACCTATTTTTTTCTTTACAACCATTGCACAAAATCAACAAAATATTAAGTTTACACTGACCATTCTTTCTCACTCAAAAGTACAATAATCGTTAAACGCTAATAATAGCAGTAATAACAACAACAACAACAACAAACAACAGAGAGGAGAAGAACAAAGAGAGATAAATCAAAGAGGATGAAAAAAATCAATAATAACGAAAATAAAAAGTAAGCATCATAGAGTAACATCTCCTAATACTAGTATACTTTACTATTATCTCAGAAATTTTATTCCTTCGTGAAATATTATGAACTGACGGTTTTGAACGTTGTCCAGATGAATTCAAAAACTATTAACGCTTTTTTCTATTGAAATGACGCCATGATCTTTCCAACAATCAATCAATCGAAACGGTACTATTAATGGACAAATGCACATAGAGTCTTTTATTGTAGTCCGATATGTATCTTCTTTTTACCATAAACTTTCTTACTTTTACTCTAGATCTATCTTCCAGATTGTTATTAGTTTAAACTTATCGTATGAGTTACATAAGTGGTAGTATGAACCTTTCAATAATAATAAAAAATCATTTTGTCTTCCCTTCACTTATATTTAAATGGGACATAAATTTTGTCAAGGCTCAGTAAGTAATAAACAATACCACATATCCCAAAAAATTGCGTCAGTGTTGAGAAATTCACATCATGCATATTTATTACTGTGATTAGATAGTTATTTATGCAATTTATTTAGATACTTGAATACAAGCAAACTAAAATATTATTCACAAACAAGTCGTTAAATCTGGATATTGTATGATACGTAGTCATTTCCTATCTATCTTACAGTACAAATATGGCAAGATTTAATTTTAATAAAATATTGATTTGAGCTTCTTTAAATTAATCGTTTGCCTATGTCATACTTTAATTTTATCTTTAGATATATTCAAAGTATCTGCAATGCTGATAATCGAAAGGAAACGTATAGTAAAAAGACGACAGCCAAACTATAAACAACGACACAGAAACATTTACTCTTGGACCGTTTCTGCTTGAATAATACTTTTCTGATGATTATTACGGATTTCATCCAGTTTTATATTTGTAACACGAATCATTACTGGGAAGGAATCGGTCAAAATACTTTATTCATTATATTAGACATACGAACATATATATGTATATATAAATCACTGAGCGAGAGGTTATCAAAAAAAACAATCTGGAATGCTTTTTTATGTAAAAATAAGATATTATGTTCTATGCTGAAAATTTTATATAAATTCTACTTTTTAGAAAATCGACTGTTAAAATATCAAAAAATTTTCAAACTTCCATTATTTATTGATCAAATTTTAAATAGTTAGAAAATGTTTGATTTTTGAAAAGATTCATTTTCGAAAATTACAAACACTCCAAAAAAATATTATTAAATTATCCTTGTAATCGATGACCATTTAAATTATTGTATAATTCTCATCAGTTAATTTTATTATTGTATATTTTAGGAAGCAATTGAAACCTATCCGATGATACAAATAATCTCCCACGAATCAGAATAAATTTCTCTCTCAATTGTTTCTTTTTCTCTTTCTCTTGTATGACTGTATGTGACTTTGTATGTCATTATATGCGTAACAAAGAAAACTATATTTGTATATACATATTATATTTTATTTACGTATTCATTTTTTTTGTTTTACGCATTCTTTTTGAAAGCTTATTGTTTTCTGTAGTTAATAAGTTTTGCAAATGGTCTTACACTCGATTACCAACAATCGGTAATAATAAAAATAGCTCAGTATCCTTTTGTCCTTTGATATCATCAATACCCATGCACATGGAAATAAAATATGCTGCATCATTACATTTGTTTTTCTTTCTCATTCTTTGTCTAATAAGGTATTACTATTGTACGTTTGATTGATACAATTTGCGCTTTTCTTGACAGTTCGAATGATCATTTATCTCATTATCTTACCGTTTCAAACTGTAATCAACCAAAAAAGAAATAATGTATAACACAAGAAAAAATCATCTATTGCTAAAAATAAGATACTTGTTTTGCATCAATGATTGTTGTGTGAAGACCTGCAGAGAGTTTTTTTTTGAATTTACTAAATTTTCTTCAACACTTCAAATTTTGTTTTTGGATATGATATACTCTAAAAATATAATATTTTTGATCGGATCAATTGGAAGAATTGGTTCTTAATTATCGTTTGAAAAATTGCAAAATCAATTTACGTTTGATAACTTTTTTTTAATTTATTTTATTTCACGTCCAAAACATACCACGCACAAAAAATAGCTGCAATGCTAAGAGAAAAAAAAATAGTTCAAAAACTACGAACGATAGAGCAAACAAATAAGTTAATGTTAACAAAATTAAGAAAAAACTGCACAATAATATACAAAATAAACTGACTAGCAGTTTAAGAAATTCTATCTTACATACTATTATACCTAGAAAATATATCTTTATAGTGTATGATTATTCAATTTATGTTCATTTAGAAATCATTTACCTGTCAATGACAAGACAAATAATCATCTCTTCAGTGAAAAACTATTCAGCACCTTTAACATTGCTCAGTATTCTATATAAAACATTTCATACATATGATTCAATTAAAACATTCGCAGCTTTAGCTTGTAAATTTATCCTAATATATTTATTGCATCATTGGATAAGGTTCAATTGTTTCCTACAATAAACAATGATAAAATTAAGCAATGAAAATTATACAATGATTGAAAAATACTCAATAGATTGCTCACATGATTTAATTAGTTTTTCTGAGTGCTTCTAACGTTCTATACTCAAGTGCTCTAATATGAAAACAATTGCTCTTCGAAAATAAAGAGATTGCTATGCAAAGATTAATAAAATGTATTACCATCAAAAAATATTTTCTTTTCTTTGATGATCCTAATATCTGGCTAATTTTGTATAACTAGATTTTAATACTTGAATAATATCTCCACTAAATGGATCAGATTGAAGATTGTTTTCATGAATCAGCTGTTCATGGAAAAGATAAAATAAAATAAATGTATCTGTGATATTGAGATTGTGTCAATTTCATTGAACGAATTGTTTAACCTCAGCAATATTTCAATGAATTATATGTTGATCAAAAACAAATTCATGCTGCAACGATTATCAAATTGGTCACTGATAAAGTTGGATATAATTGAACAATCTCTTTGTTTGGTTTTATCTCTTCAACAAGACGTTGACGATGTACCTATGTAATAGTGTTGAAATTGGTTTGCATCTTTCTTTAACTGGACAAAGCGGAACTGAATAAAGTTCAAATTTATTGAAACTGTTGGCGAGTTACTGTATGAATGATTGCAAAGAATATCATTCATTGTATCTGGTGATAACTTCGAGCGCTTCTGTATAATAACATTATCAGTAAAACTGAACTCGTCTTCAACAGCTGCACTGGTAGCTAGTACAGCTAAAACACGAGCAGTTTATTTTTCGTTTAACGCCACAATTCTACTAAAATGAAAGAGAAAGCAACGTTGATCAGTTAAAGCAAATGTATAAACACTCATTTGTCACTTGAAAAAACATTCTCTCTCAATTTCTTCAGTTTTTTTTCGAATGTTGTTTTACCACCAATGGTTGGCTTCTTTAACAATATTATCATCTGTATAATCAATAAAAATTCTTCAATTGATGATCAACGTAAACATAATAAAGATAAACCATCAATTATTTCTTCCAAAATATATAAAAAATAGACTGAATAATTAAATGATAAAAAATTCTTCGATAGCTTAAAATTTTTTTACGTATTTTGTCAAAGCCATTTGCAGCCAACCATGTGGAAACATGCTCATGAGCCCATTCCATATAGTATTAATCCAAGATAGAGTAAAAAAAAAAAGACAAAAAAATGAGATAACTATTTTTAGTCTTTTAGCAAGAGGCGAAGAAATGTTCTGTTGAAGGAAATTTTAACATTGCTGAAAAGCTTCAAATAAACTCCCATCTAAATTCAGAATCTTGAGTAAACCCACTTCCTAGAAACTATCGTGGGAAACGTGGTCAATCTTATCTTGAATACAAATGTTGTCATCAAGTGTATAAGGTCAATAATTTAACAAGCATTCATCTTTCGTCTATGTATACTTGAGATGATTCAAAAAAACAACAGAAGTCATGTTTACGAGCAGATAGTCTTTGTTATCTTGCTTTGAAAGACTTTCAAACTTCGTTTTTTGTTCCAAGAAGTGAAAAACTCTTGTCATGATCATGAAGTATTGAAGCAAAAATGAACAAAGCAATGATGAGAATTACTGGTCTCACCATCCGTTTGCTTTTTGTCTTATTAAAATCGACATCAAGATTAACATTGATCATTCATTGAAGAGACACATAAGTCCTCAATCAATCGGCGATGGCCAAGAGAAATCTGAGAACAAAGTCAACAGAAATACAATTGAACAGATGAAAAGATCGTGAAGTAATGACAGATATCTGAGTCAGAATCAAGAATCAAAGCTTTAGATTAAAAACATTATAGTGGAGATTAAGATGAGCAATGAAGTGAAGAGGAAAAGACCACAACCAACCTTCCGGCATGACTTTGCTTGAAAAGTCAGAATAGACAACGTTCCACTAATGAGACTAACAATTAGGAATCGGCAAAATGATTCCAGTCCATTTTTTTTGTCAACAATTAGACTATACATTTTCATATTTATTATATAAATTTGATTGGATAGTAGTTGATGCATTGCTTTATTTGTACATTTTTTTCTCATTGTTTTGCTATTTCTAATATGAAACCTCAAGTTTTGTTGCTGTATTTTTGTCTATATTTAAAAAGAAGTTTTCATATTTGTCGAACATAGATATAAAAATTCAGGCTTAATCTTGTAAAAATTTGTTCCAGGACTAGCTCTGAAAATAGTGGTCCTAGTCTTGCAGATTCTAATTTTGATATATTGAATTGGACTCTTGAAGTAACACCGATTCAAGATCGTTCATATAGATTGACTGTGACAAAAAGACTGGCTTTGCAGATCCCTGGTTCTGAATTAGACACATAAAGAAATACTGGTACTATTAACGAGTCAAAGTCATTCATGTAGATTCTAAAAAAGGTTGCTTGATTTAAGAAACGAAACTGAGCGCACAGGATCAAAGCCAGATCCAATGAAAAGTTTTAACTGAGATCGAGAATGGAGAAAGTCGACTTTGCTGATCCATAAGTATAGCACAACACGACTCCATCATGTCACGAATTAGCATACCAATGATTTTTGCCAAAAGAAAGAGCATCTTTTCTTCTATCAGGTCATGTGTTCCTGAACTCTCCACACACATTATTTTGTAAATACCATCACGCTCACCCTCATTCTTACTATTTGATTCATTCTGAGTTCGTAATCTGATATTAAAGAAGGAAGAACACATCCTCTAGCTAAAAAAAATGCACACTATTAGTGAATTATGTCATTTTATTCTGTATTAAAGCTGATACATTCGATGACAATAAATTTAGTACGACAGATTTATTAACCGCGTGGAGCCACCCAAACATTTCCCAATTGTTTTGCTGTCTCATCAAAATCCGGACAGTTACCATCACCACGACCTGTGAAACCACCTGAAGGAGCACAAATTTGATTACATTCTCCATCATAAAGAGGATTGAATTGATCACAACAGTTGCTAGTCACCAGATAGGCCATTTTGCCATTATATAAATAATTGTCAATACGAAGAAATGGACTGAATTGAGGTGTAGCTTTAGAGTCATCAATCATTTGTTGAATGCATCGTGGAATCTCTACCTTAGCCAATGATAGTAATGGAAGAAAAGCAATAACAATGAAAGTGATTGAAATAATGGAAGTTTTCATTTTTCAATGAATGATCTACAAGTTTCAGAAATCAAAACAAAAGATAGAAAAGACTTTTATTCAGTGTGTATTTCGTTCTATGAAGTCGTTATCAAATGTGCTGATAGTTTTATATATCTGTATTACATTGTGACTCTCATCTTAGATAAAAAGCATTATTGTGTTTGATTACAGCTTACTGAGTATTCATATCATGACTTATAGTTTCGACCATCATGTGTATATACAATTATTGCTATTGTGTTTTGTTGCAGGTGCATGCTTATGGCTTCGAATAACGTCGTCTTTTTCTCTTACTGATTTGACGAATCAAATACTGCTTTTTCTTCATCTATCGCATGGTAAACGCAGAACAAATTTTTACACAATACATTCGAAAAATATTTGCGAAATACATCCAACTATAATTGAAAAAAAGAACTAAAGCAATACTAATCATCAAACATAGTAAATCGCTAACGACTTCGCTTCTAATTTTATTTTTTCATTGAAGCACATTTTTTATCCATTTTTTTTTTGTAGTTCTTTACAGAAAGAAGCGAATTATTAACTATCTATATGTTCACACAAAGTTCAAAAATAAGAACTTAGAATACTATAAAAACAATTCACACTTTTTAAATTAGAATACGAGATTTTCGATTTTCTTGAAAACCAGATACGTTTCTCTATCAATATAGTGGAGTTTTCGACCAAAAACATGTTCTGTGAATTTCTGCTATTAATAGAACAAAAGAATACAAGTACAATAAATATGAGCGAAGAATAATGTTCGAATTAGAAAAAAATTTTAATTCAATTTTGATAATCTATTGATTGTCTCGTTTCGACAGACGATCTTAAAACATTGTGGAAAAATTTTCAATTATTTTTTTCTTGAATCTGATTTCCATTCTCGCATATCTCGTCTTCAAAATCGATTATTTGTAAATTCCAAACTTTGCAAAAAAAAGGAGCTTTTATTGCGAATAAAGACAAGAAAGTTAATCCGTTGATAATCAAACATTTTGAAACTGTGAATTTTCAGAATTGTTTATTATTGAATGAAATTAATTATTCGATGATGAAAATGATAAAAACTAGGATTCTTGATTAAAAAAAGTTATTCGAATCAATGAAGATTGATTATATGGACGTGCTCAACGGTATGATCACCCAATTCTGATTTATTTATGTAGCTTTAGTCAGACATCAGAAAAATGTGATTTTTTTACTAGTTATAGTATACATATGATGCTAATCTTTTGCTAAGAACGAAAGTTTTCAAGTATTTTCTTATTATCATTTTATTAAAGAGCGTCCCACATCGATCTTTGAAAGACTTTTAGTGCGCCATTCCAAATGTCATCTGTACGATGAAAGAGCACACCAAGTTGAGCATTTTTATCATGGAAAATTCTGATCAAGTCAGGACCTACATTGCGTAAATAAAATTCTAAAATATGTGATTATTATTCGATCGTCGGGCATTATATTTATTATGGTTGATATTTCGTAAGAATTTCTTGTGACTTGAAATGACATTATTTCTTCAATGTTCTTTATTGCGAAATATTTTTGTTAATAGTGACGCTATAGTTATGAGTCACAGGGCGTAAAAGAACGAAAAAAAAATTGCACTCAACCATATTTTCATCAAGATTCATCAACTCTGTTATAGGTATCAGCCAATGCATTTAGTAGCTGATTGTAGTTGAAATTATTGATGTGAAGAAGCTATCACGAACACAAATCTTATACGATATATACTCAGTCAATAGCAACGAAAGCATAGAATAGCATATCTTCTCCATCCATAGAGTAACAAGACATTTTCCTAAGTTGCTAAATGAAAAAGCAACTAAAATCCTCTTAAAATAAATACATATCTTGACAGATGTAAAATTAAACATTTCTAATATCCAAAAAAATCACATCATCATATAATACGAGCGTAAAGAAATATTCCATCATTTCCTCTCAAATAATTTTACAATACTCCGAACATGTTTAGTAGAGATAAATCTGTTAACTATGTAGCAACCAAAAATTCTATATCGAATGTCATTGCTCTTATGAATTAGGCCTACTATAAAAAGAGTAAATCTCACCCCAGGTCGAGACGAACGGTTAAAGAACGCGTTCCGAACGTATGGCGAACACGTTTTATATGTCCGTCCGCTTAGAACGTGTTCTTTGACCATTCATCTCAACCTGGGCAACCTAAATGGAACGATAAAAACAATGCGTTCGGAGCATAGTTTTTCGTGTTCCGAGTTACTAGTTCAGAACGCGTTCTTTAACCATTCATATTGACCTGGACAGTTTATTGACTTTAATAATGTTTTTATTGGACAATTATAACTATTTTTTGTTACCACTAAAGACAAGCTATCGAGGTGATCAGATGCTGTAATGAGATAATTATTTTATCGATTATATAATGTATTTATTTGAATTTGTAATGCTGTTGTTCGTTTGTTTTTCTGCTTCGATGCACCGAAAGGGCATGGAAGTATAATTCTGTCCACAGTTTTCTTCTATTTCCGTAATATTGATAAAACCTTAAATATTTGGATGATTTCGATGAGTACAAGAATTATTCTATTACGATGCAGCCAAGAAATTCTAAACTAATCAAGACACTCACTTTATAGCCAATTTCTTTGATACCACCACATCTGTTGTGACGTCTATCCCATCATTGTCTCCACATACCATTCATAAACCAATGATTTGATAGAATGCTTCAACCATAAACTTATCGAACCACTTAGTGTCTATGTTGGTCAACAATAAACTGGCTGGGACAATTTTTTAACAAGAATCACATTTGCATATAGTAGAAAAAACAGAAAATTATCAAGAACACGATGATTGATGGTAAATGTTTGTCAATAATTACCAATTAATATTTATCTAAGCTTAAATACGTGAGAAAATGGTCTCCTACAATGATATGAACCACAATGACAGAATAAAGAGAACGAGAATATTTTGTTTTTGGAAACTGGGTCCCATATTAGTTTATACATTTTTCTCTGTTAAATAAAGGGAAATATGATCATTGTCTTCCTGTTTCCTTCTTCTATTTTTACTGCAAAAAGCGAGAAGAAGGAAAAAAATGCGCCAACAACACAAAACGGAGTATCTTTATAAAAAAAAGAAAGGATGCCATGAAATAGAAATTTGAAAGTGAGGATTCAGTCTATTTTTCATGTCATGTCTGCTCCTCGTATTGTACAATGAATGACTATGACGTAGCATATCATTTCGTGCCAAATATCTCGCATTTGTCAATTTTAGATCCTCATTTTGACAAAATAACTACTTGGTTGTGACTATCTTGTGGGTGAGTATTAATCTGTGAATTTTTCTCGTTCATATATTTTTTTTTTGAGAAGTCTACTATAAAATAATAAATGAGGGTTTATATATAAAGTTGCTTTCCCTATTCCCTCTTCTCCTTTTAGATACTAGTGATGCAAAACCCTAGAGAGGAAGGAAGAGAGATCAACGGCAGTATCTCTGTTTTACTATTCAGCTTCACTGCTTCCAAATGTGCCTAGTATTTTCTCTGTGTAAAGTAACTACGTGTGCGTGATAATGATGTTGTGAGCAAAATAGTGACAATCATGAAATTGTTCCAAAAATACATTTTCCCAGGCAATTTGGATTCTTTATTTTATTTTAGTGTTTGTCTTCCTATTCATTGTTCAACCTTTTTTTTCAACGCATTAGAGGACAAAGAATATAGGATTGAATTCGTCCATTCGCTTTTCACCTCTACATCGAAGAAGGAAGAAAATTTAATCCAAGAATTCTTCCAAAATATTCTAGAAAGCATATAAGTCTGCTGAGTACGCGTATCAGGAGATACTGGAAATCAGCAATACTTACCAAGAATAATTAAGCATTAAATCGAAGTGGACCGCAAGTGTCTTTGCGTTGAAATGAGTACCACGATATATGATAGCGAGTTTCAACGCTCACCGGCGGCTACACTGAGTTAAAAGATACAGAGACAATGGAAGAAGAGCAAATGTCACCAAGAAAACACCAAAAATGCAATAGATAATTGGACTGTTCTTGTCTTATAGTGATTCTTCTAAACTCCCAAAATATCACTCTTGCTATTTAATTTGATATATATTAAGAGAAAATCTCTAGGATTCAACGTTTATGCCATAAATAGGCGATGATATTAACAGTGAGGGAGAAGATGCAAAAGGAGAGAGAGCGAGAACGAATAAGAGATATGTATGAACTAAAAACAGAGCGAAAATAACTGACCAAACCGAACCGAACGAAGACCTGGGCCAATTACTCTTGACCATACACAGATCCATTATAGCAACCATCTATTGAGGTCGTTTAGTGTAATTATAAACGAAGTAAACGATCATTAACACCAGTGACTTCTTTTGGATAAACAGAAGAAATCTAGTGAAAATTGCAATAGATTGAGTGTTTAACATCAACAATATCTCCATGCTGTAACCCTAAAACAATCAAATATGTAATATATGGTAAGATCGAATACACTTAGAATTTTTGTATGATCTTATGAGGTACAAAGTTATAGTCCTAAATGCATACGTCTAAAAGTATAGATATGGGGTATAGTGGTGAGAATATAGGCGTAGAGGAATAAGCTGATAAGTGTATGCTCATGAATATTGGATATATCTCTCGATGATGTGGATAGCACTGGCTATTGGATTGATTGGGTGTAAAACAAACAGTTTTTGTGTTGATACGATCGTTGTAGTGTTCAAATCTAGAATCAAAAGAAACAAACGTTGTATACGTGGATATAATGCGAGACAAGACGATGAATGAGTGATGCTAATGAAACAAAGAGAAACACCACATGAAGAGAAAGTGAAAATATAGAAAGAACGGAAGAGGAATCGAGATAGAAA